TCTCTTTCTATGTAGAGGTGATGTTGACACCGATGTTTGTGAGAAATGTGTGGAAAATGCTACAACTATAATCTTGCAACGTTGTCCCAACGAAAAAGAGGCAACAATTTGGTATAATGAATGCATGTTACGGTACTCAAATCGATCCATATTCTCCAGGGTGGATTGGTCATTTCGGATAGTCATGTATAATAGTCACAATATCAGCGGCAATCCATATAAATTCATCTATGTATTAGTAGGTACGATGAATGAGGCGGCACTGCAGGCTGCTATTAAATTCTCTGGCAAGAAATTTGCTACGAAAGATGCCGTCGTTACGGCATTTATGAAGTTGTATACTCTGGTACAATGCACACCTGATCTTTCTAGTGAAGATTGTTACACCTGCCTTGAAAATGCCACCTCCAATTTACCGTCATGTTGTGAATATGCGCAAGGAGTAACAATTATTTCCCCTAGCTGCAATATTAGGTATGAGATATACCCCTTCTACAACGCCCCAACCGTCCCTGCACCTGCGCCTGTACTTGCGCCTGCGCCTAATAACAAACAAGGTAACGTCCTAACGTAAAACATCTCTTTTACCTCAATTCTCACGCATAACCAAACACTTAATAGGGTTCCTAACCTAGCACTACACATGTCTGGATATCTCCATCAATTTTTACATGAATGTTAAGTTCAACATAGGATAGAAAACTTGAGTCTGGGTTTTATTTTTTGAAGATACTCAAACAAATATAAATAGAAGCAAGTTTTGAAATCCCAATTTACATTTTTGTTCTTAATACAGGAAACAGAGGAACCTCAAGACAAGTTATTATTGCTATCGTTGTTCCAATTGTTGTTGTTTCCTTAGTGGTCTTGCTGGTAGGCTTACGTTTCTTGACTGGGAGAACGATGAAGAAGAAACAATATGGTACTATAAAGGAGAGAAATGGTAAGCCACGAATGGTCAAAATGGAAAAGTAGAAAAATTCCCTTTCGATCTAATCTCCATACACGGTATTTAGATGGTGTGATAGCATGAAATGCGCTGATTTACTTTTTCTACGTATTCAGCAGTTTTTGCTGATTGCATCGATAATTGGTTTTGCACCTTTAAAATAAAATTTCAAGAATTTAAATGTAAAAAGCTTTTTTTCTTGTCCTGCACGTCCTTTTTTTTACTCATGAGTTGTTGTTTTTTTGTGTAGAAGAAGATGAAATTTCGACGGTTGAAGCCCTGCAATATGAGTTAGACACTATCGACCTTGCTACTACCAGCTTTTCTGCTGAAAATAAAATTGGAGCAGGTGGATTTGGTGACGTGTACAAGGTAATTTAAGGAGTATATAGTTTATCCGTGTTTGGCATAATATAATTATCCTATTTCGCTGCTACTTTGCATTCACACTTTCTTGGATAGTTATATAAACATATGACTAGTTTAGTGAGGGTAAATGTATAGTATTAAGACCTGAAATTTCAACTTAAGATCAAACTTTATTTAGATGAGTAGCCCAACCCTATATATGTTGACACTAAAGTCGATGTGATATTTATCCCTTCAAATATATAGTACTATATTATTGTTTAATACTGTGTATCAAGCAATATATGTAGGGTATCCTTCCAGATGGACGAGAGATAGCTGTGAAGAGACTTTCTAAAAGTTCAACACAAGGTGCAAAAGAATTTAAGAATGAGATTGTAATCGTTGCCAAGCTTCAACACAAGAATCTAACAAGATTACTAGGTTTTTGCTTGGAAGGAGAAGAGAAGATTCTCATATACGAATATGTGCCAAATAAAAGTCTTGATCACTTTCTTTTCGGTAAGCATCAATGTGAATACTGCTGTTCATTGAATTCCGTGCATTTGCAGCCATGAAACTTGCATCAGAATTTCAAAGTTATTCCCAATCAATGCTAATTATCTTGATTCATTTCCTCCATGGATGTAAAGATCCAGAAAAACAGCAGCTCTTGGATTGGTCAAGACGTTACAAGATCATTGAAGGAATAGCAAGAGGAATGCTTTACCTACACGAAGATTCTCTTCTTAAAATTGTACACCGTGATCTCAAAGCTAGCAACATACTCTTGGACAGAGACATGAACCCAAAAATATCGGATTTTGGCATGGCGAGGATTTTTG